AGTGATGTGCACTTTATAAGTTACAAACAGAATTTAGGTTCGGTATGTACTTTGGTTCAACAACCCTATAAAGCAGGCAGAGGAGATCGGAGCAGATTAGGTCACCAGGCTTCAGGGGAGTAGAGCAGCTCATTGTAGGTGGCAGCCTGTCAGAGAGAAAAGCATTTCTCAGCCTCCGATCTAGGACTATTTTACTACCCTGAAGGTCAAGCCTAGACACACAAGAGGAAGTGATTCCCAGGGCCAAGCTCGTGATGCTTACCTTGGAAATAAGGAACAACATTTTTTTTTTCCCCTTTTCTTAGCGGGTGGGTGGAGGTGTTGGTGAAGAGGAAAAGGAGGAGTCCTGAGCATAATTTAAGCAACATTTCCCTCACACTCCCTGCAGATGGGCTTCCGCAAAGTTTAGCTCCCTGTTCCTATTCTGTGGCTAAAGAGGGACAAAGTGGGAGTGAGGGACAAGCAGTGTTGTTTATCTTTCCAGCTCTGAGCTCTCAGAGGCTGGAATCCCCCGGCTGGAGGCTGGGTGTGGCCACTTCCCACCATTGCTAAATGGGAGAAGCAGCGACTCCCACTGGGAAGGGTGCGGGATTTCCTTCTAAATAGGAAGTGTATCTCCCAAGTGTGGGGCTGCAGAGAGTCATCAAGAACTTATCTCCAGAAGCAGACAGCAGGGAGGAGTCTGCCGGGTCCTTTGCCCCTGAGGGATGCGCTGGCCCCAGGAGAGAGAAGGGCCAGGGCAGGCCAGGCCAGCACTGTCATCCGTGTGTCTGAGGAGGCTCCTTCTTTCCCACACCCACCAGGCCCGCCCAGCACGCTGGTGCTGCTGGGACTGGTTCCGTCTTTGGACCAGATCCAGAATATCTTGGGTCTTAGATGTTATGCCCTCAAACTTCCAGAACTCACAGGACTCTTTGTGGAAACGAAGCATCTTTTTTTCTACCCTTGGAACGTTACATTGGCAAGTCCTAGCCCCTCTTCACAGATGAGGAAGCCGAAGTCCAGAGAGGTTGAAGGTACATCAAATCAGGATCAGGAGTGTTGTTTAAATTTTCTAATTCCTTATTTGAAAAAAAAAAATCCACATTTTTTTTTATAGTTTAAAAGTGTACAAACCCCTCTCATACTGTCTTCCTTCTCAGGCATGTCACATTTCCAACTTTAAAAACTTTTATTTATGTAGGTGATAAACTTTCCCCGTCCATTTTGATGTCTATAAAATGTGGACCATGTTTGCCTCACAAAAAATATGCATATTAAAAAAGGCAAGAGCATTTCAAGCAGTTTTCCGACATTCGGTGAAGCTTATCATAAGAACACTCCCCCCATGGGTACAAAACCCAGGACCTGTCGTACACTGGGCAAATACTCTACCACTGAGCTACACCCCAGCCCTGGTCGCTTCTATTTTTAACTCTTTCTGCCTTCTCTGCTTGCCTGTACCCTAAGTTTTTTGTATGGTCTGAGGGTTTTAATTTTAGTAAATTTTATTATTGCATATTTCTTCTCCAAGAATTAGTTGCCATCCTCATAACCTTGTTAGCCTATTTATGATAATTATCTCATTCTGCTCTGGTTTAAATTTTCCAGGCTTATTGCTGTTTGTTTTATAATACCGTCTTCCTGTTCTTGAGTTCTTTATTTTGACTTAGAATTCAGTTGCATAACATTTTAAAGGAAAGGTAGATAAAAGGCATACTGGAACTAACATATACCTTTCTGTTGGTTTACATCATGAACAACAAAAGACTTCTTAGGTTTTTGAATTCTTCCTTTGCCAATTTTTGGCCATCTCTGTTGTACCTATCTCCTGGACCAAGAGATGGGGTGGCTTCATTCTCCTTTTCCTCCAATGTTTCTATGCCTAGATGATTGTAGGTATCTTCCTCTGCCCTTGTAATTTAATATAAAAAACCTTGACTCCTGGACTCAATTCATTCCCTAGGACTGGTTGTAGCTCAAGTTGGTTAATTGAAGGCTCAGGCTCCTCTACACAGCCTTCAAAGTCTCTCCTGTACACAGGCAGATCTCAGTGTCCTTGGAGGGACACTGGCCCAGGATTTCTTAATGAACCCCACACAGGAAAGGATGTTGTCATGTTCCTTACAGAACACTTTAAGGGTTAAATCTGTATCTGAGACCATCTGGAAGCACAAAGAGGCTGGCATTCGGGTCGTAACTCAAAACTTTGGTTATAAGTTAAAACTAAAATTCTGGTCATAACTCAAGTTGTTTGTATGTCAGGCTGGTTGTTATTAGAGGGTCCAATGTACTTCTGTCTCTGCATCTGTTTTTTTTTTTTTTTTTTCTTCTCTCTTTCTGGAATGAGGCCTTTGCACTGAGTAACATCCCAGTCCTTTTATATTTTTTATTTTGAGATATTGTCTCAGCAAATCATGAAGCTTCCTAGTCTGGCCTTGAATTTTTGACCACCCTGCCTCAGCCACCCAGAATGCTAGGCATGTGCCACTATCCCAGTTTACATTTTAGCTATTAAGAGCTTTCATTTTCAGCAAAAATGAGTTTGAACTTGGCCAGGTATTTCCTCCCCACACCTGCCTCTGAGTACTCCTTAAGATGCCAATTATTCACCCTCCTGAATCTCAGTGGTTCCTTCTTATCTTCCCCAAGTAGAGTACTGGCTGCTTGAGTCTGGGATGCCAGCTCAGTGGTTAGGATAATAGCTTGGTTGGCTTGAGGGAGGAGTTTAGAAAGCCTTCAGCTTTGTATGTTTTCTTCTGTTTTGAGCATGCTACTTTACTGGGGCAAACCCTTCCCACACAATCTCAGATTCCTCTTGCCCGCCTATGAATGGATGTAGGCAGGGCTGACTGCCAAAATACTCAGTGGCCTGCCCCAAAGCAACTGTAGTGCTGGAGAGAGACCGGAGGCTTCCTTTCTGCCAAATACCCTTTCATTGTCAAACAGCATTGTCGTTGGTGACAGTGGGGTGTCTAGGTAGTCTGAGGGGGTTAGGGCAGTTATTACAGCAGGGAGCACCCAGGCAGCTTTGGGCACTTGTGTGCCTCTTGATCCCGGTGTGGGGAAGAGCCAGGCTAGGGCACTGTGCAATTGTACTGCCTGTTGCAGATTCTCCTGAGCCATCCCCAGCTTTGCATTGGTGCCTTGCTTGCTCTTGGTCCTTTTTGGCAGGGATGCCGGGCAACATGGCTTAATGAGCGCTGGCATCCTCCAAGCTCAGAATGAGGACAATGGCTGGATGTTCCTCACGCTCTACCATACTTTCCTGGCCAGCTGACTGCACCACGTTACTGCAGACTGACCATGGCTCCCTCCTGTGACAGAGGTGTAGTCCTGAGGGGACACCTAGAGGTGGCAGTGGCATCTGGACTTAGACTGGCATTTCACTGCTACTGAGTCTCACCGCACCCCAGAAGTAGACCGGAGGGTGGCACCATCACGTGGCAGCCAGGCTGTTGGGAGAACAGTGCCAGTAAGCACAGGTTTGCTCAGCCCAGGCAGTCATAATGCTGGGCACCAGGACTGTCAGGCTGAGATCTTGGCAGCCGAGTTGCTAGGTAAGTGCCAGGTCTGACGAGGTGCTGCAGTGAGGCCATGTTCAAGTGTTCCTGGCCAGTCTGTGCGTGAGGCCACTGCTTCAAAGGGAGCCAATGATGTAAAGTACCTTATAAACCCAGTCCCAGAATTGGGTCGCGGCAACTGTATAGATTTTTAAGCTGCTTCAGGAGAGGACAGGGTGGCATCCTTGCCATAAATAACTGAGGAACACCAGCTTGGCCTGCAGATGTCTCAAGACCCAGACCTCATGTGCTGGGGCAGACTACGGGGTCTTTAACTTGAGTGTTAACTGGGAAGGGAAGGACTTGGTCAGTGCGGCCAACTACAGCAAAGAAATTCTGTAAGCATGGAACATAGTAAAGGTCGTGAATAAAGGAGGATAGTCAGAAGTGTGGGAGGTGTATAAGTGAAGGCCATGCTTGTCAAGCCATGGCTGGACTGTCCCTGGGAGAGGGGCATGGAGGAAGCCCGTCACTGTGATGATGGTGGCATCAGACAGCTTGTACCAAGCAAGTAGTCTGATGCTAGCACTGTACAGCTCCCTTTAGGTTTATTCACTGGTTTCCTTACTGTAGTAAGTGAACAAAGTAGGTAATGTCACTAGCCCCATTGTACAGGTGGGAAAACAGGAACAGAGAGGAGAAAAAACCTGCTCCAAGACACGTAACTAATAACCTCTGGAGCTGGGTGAGGTTCTTTTCCACCAGTAAAGTATGGGCAGACTCCTCATTTGTAGAGAACATTGGAGACTTTTCTGTAAGATCAAGTAGTAGTAGGATTCAGCATGAAAAATGGGGCTGGCTGTCAAATGCTGCTGAGGGCATCCACAGGCCGAGAATGTGCAGCCACCTACTCCCCAGGTCTTCACCTCCACCTGTGCAACAAAGCTGGGGTTCAGTTGGTGGATACAGAAGCAGTTGAACGGGGGGAGCAAGAATGCTTGCAGCTACTGTGAAGGCAGCAGGAACCAGGACCTCTTGGCAGAGGAAGCCAGGTTGAGATGAAGTTCAAGGTCACCCTCAGAGAGGTGGCCCACCTTGTTGTTACCATCGTGGAAGGGAT